CAACATGATCTCTCCTGACGGAAGTGCTGTGGTGAACTTACAATCTAACTTATCTTGATGTGCTGCTAACGATCTAGCAAACTCAAGAGATACAAAGGAATGTGTGGCTCCAGTGTCAAATAGCACATTAGCGTATCTATTAAGAACAAGTATCTGACCTGTGACAACACCGGGATTTATCGATGCCTCCTCTTTCGAGATTGTGAACACTCTAGCAACCGGAGCCTCTGGTGGTGCCTCAAGACGCCCTTGCTGGATGGATGGTCCTTCTAGATAAGCCTGCATATTATGGACAACCGCTGAAGGTGTTGGATTTCTTGGCATGTGAGTGATCTGGTAGTTTTGCTGATTCTTTCTTGGACAATCTCTCGACATATCTCAAGGCCGCAAGTGTAGCAAGCTCCTTTTCCATCATTGCCCGTGAAGTTTCTCTTCTTGTTACTCTTCGAATTGTTCATGTGTCGTTGTGACTGATTCTGTGACTGCGAAGGCACAAGCTGTGGCTGAGCGGGTACTGGACCGCTAGAGATGTAGTACTCCTTTTGAGTTGCTATAAAAACACAGTCAGCTAGTGTAGCTGGAGTCTGATTGCCATTCTCCAAGTGAACTGCTATATCCTTCCTAAGAGCTGCCAGGAACATCCTCACCTTATCTCTTTCCGTCGGGGCAGCTGTAGGACAAATACGTAGCAGTCTCTGAAATTTTGCCGCCAAGGTTGTAACATCCATGGTTCCCTGGCGTAGACTCTGAAGCTCATCCTGGTACCTACGTGTGACACTAGCGTTGAAATACTGGTCGGTGAACTCCTCTTTGAACTGCTCCCATGTCATCTGCGTGATGTTGTACCTTGTTTCCACAGTCTCCCACCATATTCGAGCATCCATGGTGAGGCTGTAAGATGCACATCGAACCTTGTCATTATCTGCTAGTTCCAACCCATTAACAATGCCTTCCACGGTCTGCAGCCATCCCTGAGCAGCTAGAGGGTCTGGACCCCCCTCGAAATCCGCGGGCTTGATCTTCCTCCATGTGATCATCAAAGGTTCTTGTCTCGATGCTCCGTGCCCCCTATCATGATTATTTCCAGCATTTCCCCCTTCACCGCCGCCCCTTTGATTGTTCGCGGTCAAACGGTCGATGGTTTGTTGCTGCTCCTGCAACTGCCTCTGAAGTTGCGCTACTAATCCTGCCAAATCCTGCTCGTGATTGTTTCCTTGCTCATTGTTGCTACCAACTGGACGATCACGGGTTCTCCTCATTTTCTTAAGGCACCTAAATATAATTTTTATTTATGTGCCATACACAATACAAAAGGCAAAACATTCTCACTTATGTTCTCTATCTAATAAAACTCTTCTTGCTCAAGCACAGAAATTTAAAACTACTTTAAATACTTACTTGGAAGATGATGAGCACGTGTACGGTGACAAATGAAGTTACGGGACAACCTAGGCTCTGATACCAAATTTGTAACGCCCCTCTCAGGGTTAAAGGAGACGTCACATAAATTACTACTATATATAAAAAAAACTGCAATATAACGGCCGTTTGTTTAAGAAATAACCCTGATAAAAATCTCAAATATAACAAAATTATAGCTCCAAATAAAAACTCAAAAAAATCTAGTTATCACCAGCAAATGTGATAACCACCTGGATCCAGGAATTTACTAAAACTTCAAAACCTCAATTATATAAAGTAATAATAATCTTTTTATTCTCACTGAAATACTGGAGTAAAATAAAACTAGCTAGAAGCCGCCAAGGTCGTTCCCGTTAACTCATCTTGGCACGCGTTCCACTCCCTCATCATCTTCCTAGGCCTTGGCCTTACCCTTAGTATCTGTACATGCGAAGAAAGAAAACTGATAAGCTTTACGCTTAGTAAACACTATGGACCCACAAAATATCTGAGAAGTCTATGCTAATTTATCAATAGATAAATTTAGACTATAAGCATGCACTAAACAAACAACTAACAAATAGCTTTTAGAATAAATTCTGAGAGATTCCAAAAGAAAATATTTTCTAAAATAATTTCTCAAAACTACTGGAGAGATCCCAAAATTTCTTTCTCAAAACATTTCTGTAAACTTTCTGAAAGAGATCTCAAAACAACTTTCTGTAAAACTCTTTGTGGCTAATTTTAACTGTGGGCCCGTGATATGTACTCAAAGGCGCCAATCCGACAGCTCAGGGGAGCGACCACTAAACATATCGGACTCTCTGAAACTGATAAACTGATAATCTGAGGGAACTTGTTCCCGAGTACATATCACCTGATCTTTCACTTTAAATATTAGTTCTTTTTTATAGTGACGTTTGGGTAAAAAAAACATCATTAAAATCTTGAAATAAAGTACTGACATAATCTTGACTATGCCAGATAATAAACATAACTTAATACAACAATTACAATAACTCAACAAATAATTCACCAAGCTCGCATAATAGCGAATAGTCTAAAATCATCTACTAAAAGTCAACCAGACTTCTTTCTTTCATTTGGTTGAACAAACATGTACAGGTGGTAGTGAACTTACCTGTCAAAGCTGAACTCAAATCACTTAGATATGGATGGCACCTTGATAACGTCTTCCAGTAAGCTCTTCTTTGAAATCTTTAATTAAATATTAAATACAACATTACGACTAAATCTCATTATACTATAACCGAAGCTGATATCGATTGTACTAAGAATCAAAACTCTGAATTTGAAATCTATATATCTGTTTAAAAAAATGCCGACCAAAAGATTAATACAGTAGCCTTTTATTATTACTCAAGCTAGTTGTTAAAAAAAATAAGAATTATCTGGCTTTGCACCAGATCGTGGTTATACATTCTGAAGACATGAGAAAAATGAAATCTTCTATCTTGCAATCTCCATTCAACAACTAATTAGTCCAATCAAATAAGGTCCTAAAATAAAAACCAAAAAAGCTAGCCCCCTGCAGTTTACAAATACTTATTTGAAACAACACAAGCCTATGTTTCATATGAATCACTTTTCAGAATTCCAAACGGACAACAAGAACCCAGCCTGATTTAAAACTCAAGAAACATAATCCAAATATATGTATGTGTATATATATATATATATATATATATATATATATATATATATATATATATATATATATATATAACAGACCTAAGCAGTGAAATTTGTCCGGCCAAAACAGCCTCCTGTTTCGATCTTAAATTTAAAATTATGAGAGTAAAACCCTTTGCAAAAGCATAGAAGACTGCAACTAAAACTTACCAGACAAGATCCGTTGATATCAGGGACCAATTTGATAAACGAGATGAATTCCGGCGTTTGAAAGGAGTAATTCGGTGTAAAGGTTTTGAGAGCTTCAGCGGCGCTTATCTAAGCAAATGACGTGACTTTCTCTAGGGACTTAGTTTAAAAGAGACTCACTTGGGCTAAGATTGATTTGGGCTCCCAGTATCCTTTAAAATTTTCCTCATTAAAATATTCTCTATTTCAAAATAAACTCATTAAGCTTTAAAACATTTCTTATTCATTTACTTAAAATTATTAGAGCTTACCGGTCAACGTTACCTGCCAGAACAACACGTGCTCAAATAATAAATCACATTAGTCATAGAAGAAACTTATTTAACATACTAAAATAAATAATATTGATTAATATATCTAGCTCATAAAAAATGGGGTGTTACACTTCGGGTCCTTTTGCTTATCAAAATTATACCGTATAATGGCATCTTGATTTTCCATCTTAACTTCTTAAGTATAAACTATAAAGTAGATATATAAATAATAAATATAATATATTGGAGAATAAGAGAAGAGTAGAGAGTTAAGAATAGGATTTAGGAAGAATTGGAGAAGAGATATGAAAAAATGTTTAAGATTAGGAGTATTTATAGGTTTTTTTACCCCCCACCCCCCCCACCACCCCCCACCAGCCAACCCCCCCGGACCCCCCCTTTACCCCACCCAACGGCTATATAGCCGTTTGGGTTGTCCCCAGCCCCACCCCCAACGGCTAGTAGCCCAAACCAATTTTTTTTTTTAAATTAGACCCGGGCCCGACCCGGCCTGGCCGGGTCACAATAATCCAGCACCGAGCCCACCCCGCCCCTTCCCACCGGTTCGGGTCCATACCCGGTCCCGGACCGCCCGACCGGGCCGGTCCCGGGCCCGCACAGTACCGGGCCGGGCCGGGTCACAGGCCGGGTGGCCCGAACCGAATCCAACCCTAGGTAAGAGTGATGTGAAACCATTCTTCCATTAGCAAGATAAAGAATAGTAAAATGAGCTGAATAATTATGTTTAATTTAAAAGGTGACGTTATGGACAAATTTCAATGTGAGTAGTTGTATAAACATTATAAATACGGTTTAAATGTGTAAATGCAATATTATATGTCTGTTGATATAAATAGTTTGTGTTTAATGTATAAAGTGACATTTATAGTGTATCTGGTTATGAGTGTTCTAAATGAAAGTCATTAATGTGTGAATATAGTATTGTTTGTAATGACTTGTTGACATAAATGGTATATATTTAGTGTAAGTGAGGTTTAAAATGTTTTAATAATCTTTAGTGTAGTGAGGCTTATAATATGGAGCATTATATTATTGTTGAAATAAATGGTTTATGTTGGGTATATATAATAGCATATTAAATGTAAATGATTTTATTAATATTAAAAATGCATGTTTGTACTAATTTATAAATTTAAAATTTAAAAATTACTTCATTCATCATTTAAAACTTTGTCAACTTTTTTTTTAGATGTCCCACTAACTTCGTCACTTTCCCTTTTAAGTAAAGTATTTGTGGTCCAGATAATTCTCTCTCTCCTCTGTCACAAAGTTTTTACTTTATTAATTCCTGTACCGATCAAACTTGTCAAAGTTTTAAGAGTCAGAAAGAGTATATTATATAACCGTATGTACCTTGAGATTGTACAAACTAGTATTTTTGAAATTATTTTGAACTTTGAGGTTGAATGAAAATCTTTCCTCCATCTTTCTCTAATTTCAGTTTCGTAGTACGCTCGTGCCCTCATCTTCGACCTTCACCATCAGCATCACCGTGAAGTGCAAACTTTCTCCATTGATGTAGTCCGACAGCTCGTTGCTTGCACCCAGACAAACGGCTCACCGCTCGCACTCATACATACGACTCGTTGTTCGCACCTAGACGGTCAGACGCTCATCTCGCACCAGACACTCCTGCTCGCGTCTCGCAGGCTCTTCCTAGTTGACGAAACTCACACCGCTAATGCAGGTCAGATTGGAGCTCGCGGCAACCAGATTAGAGCTTACTCACATAGTCTCAAATCTCAATGCTCATTTGTAGAGAATATGATACTCAATGAAGATGCTTTGACGCTAAATGCAATATTCCAAGAGAAAATTAGCTCATGTGTAACGAAAACATTGTGTGTTTCCCAAAGTATGACTTATGTCTTTTTTCCCCTAACATTGACACCAAATAGCATCATGTGTCTAACTATATATTGAGGAAGAATCATGTGTAGTCATATTTTGGGAATTGACATGAGTTTTGCTCATATGTACTTCCTTCGTTCTTTAATTCTTGCAACATTGTGATTTTTACACTATTCACAGACCTTACTTTGACCACGGTTTTTTTAATAATATACATAATCAAATTATTACGTATAAAATGTTATTAAATTGTTGTCAATGTGATTTTCCAAAATATTAAATTTTTATAATGTTTACTAATACATAATTAAATATAATTACAGTCAAAGTTATGCGTTGGCAAACGTGAAAGTCAAATTGTTGCAAGAATTAAAGAACAGAGGATAGTAGGTATTTTCCCAAAGTTCCAATGCTCAATGAAGATGTATATTCACAAAGTCTCAATGCTCAATAGTAGATAACACAATACTCAATGAAAATGTTTTAATGCTCAGTGCATAGTTCCAATGCTCAATGAAGATGCTTGATCACATAGTTTCAATGCTCAATAGTAGATAATATGATACTCAATGAAGATGTTTTGATACTCAATAAGTTTTGAAATTTTTATACTCAACTGCAAAGTTACAATATTCAATTGAGGTAGCTTGATGCCTTGATGGTCATGGAAAATTTCTTGTTGCTCAACTAACAGAGCTTATAGTTTTCATATCAATGCATATTTCAAAAGTATAATATAGAGTATTGGATTAGATTTGTACTCATAAGATTTGATTATCGATTTAATTTAAGAAATTTTTATAAAAGAAAAAAATAAGAAACAGAAAATGAATATCATAATACTCAATATCAATGCACTATCCCATGTTGTATGGTGTACAACCGTACAACCGGTTGTACGATAAACGAACCTGTGTGCGTTTTGGGACAGCATGAAAACACCAGCCCGCAGTATAAATTGCCATTATCAACCATCCACTTGATGTATGGGTAGAACTGAAAGGACAATGTTTCTTGCTATCATATGTTCATGAAGTCAACAGCGATATATGGAGTTCTTGGCATACATCAAATTAACATGAGAATCAATACAATGATCAATCATCTACCTTCTGCTATATTGTGCATCTAAACAACCCAGTTCTCTTTAATTCTATGTTTTCCTTCTCTCTATCACTACACAACGCTAAGCTTGCCAGGAAGAAAAACAACTAAAAAGAGGGAACCAAAAAAGCATTTGAAGGAAAACAAAAAAAACTTTTCTGCAAGCTTGCCAGCTGATGGGCTTCTATTCAACTGTTGTCAATGAACTGCTAAAGATCAACTGAAATCTATCAATCTGCACGCGGTAATAAGAAACTAAATCCTGAATTTTCACGAATAAGCGGTGGAGGTTCTATATCTGAGATATCAATCTGCTCCATTGGCTTCGATAGATCGTCCACTGAGAATGGTATGCTGCAACATACCCAACATTAACACATCACTGTTTATGTAATTAAACAATATGACATGATATCATAAAAGTAGGATTTGTGGTCCTCTCCCAATCTGAGCGAGCATTGATCAAATGAGCCACATTTTATCAATGGTGTATCTTGTTAAAAGTCTCACATAGAACCAAGTTGTAAAATGCATTTGTGCAAAAAGATTTTTGTTCACACGGGCAACATGTCTTCTCTATGTATATATGTTATTGTCTGTACTAAGTTGACATTTTGTATCATTTTCCCCACATATTATAGAATCAAAAAACATATTTTTGTTTGTTGTTGTACAACTTGGTTGTACACCAAAATTACTCTAAATAGAAACATATGAGTTTATGAAGCATTGAGTTAGACTCATGTAACGACCAAATTATATTTTAATTGATCAAATTTTGAGATGCTTCTTATAACATAAAGGATATGTACAATGGACTTAAATCCAACCTCGAATCATCATCTAGCAGAAAAGAACTGCTGACAGCATTGTTTGAATCTTCGGTCATTATACCTCTCATATTGGATATAACCTGTCAAAGCAAACAACTATTCACGGTTGATGATCTGCCTTCTTAAAGCTAATAAAGTGTAATATAGATCTGAGAAAGCATAGTGGTTGGGGAATCAAAGAAAGGAAACAATCCTCAAACGATAAAAATGTTTCTTAAGCTTAGATCTTTTAACCAAAGATTCATTATTTTTTGGCTTGAGATTATGATGGAATAAAGCAAAATGGCTCACTAAACTGTCTGCGCTTCTTTGTTATGAAGCAGCAGTCAGTCCACGCAACTTTGGACGCGATTTGCACTATGGGTCATCCGGAAACAGTCTCTCTCTGCTTTAGTACAGGGGTAAGACTGACTGCGTACATCCGACCCCCCCTTACCCCACCGTAGGTGGGAGCCTTTGCGGCACCGAGGTAAATGAAAATGATGATGAAGCTTAGATCTTTTAAGTATCTTACTTCGGGTGAAAGACTGTGAGTGCCATATTTGTCATCCCAGTACATTGTGCTGATTCTGTACAGCTGTTGAACACTAAGCACCTGCAAGTGGTCACTTGTAAGAACAATATGAAACACATACCTGGCCACATCATTTGGAAGATGTAATGGTAAAGTGCACTTACAGGGCATAAATCGTGGCTTATCTCATCAAGTGTCTTCTTCGGTTTCTGGTGAATGACCTAATAATGATGTAGAAACCATCATATTTGTCACGTTTTAAATCACAACATTTAGACTGGAGCTACAAAGAGAATCTATATATACCAGAAATCCTATTGCTTGCCTAATGTGTTTGAGCTCTTCCCATGCTGAACCTGCATACTGTGAAACACATTGTCTTACTTGAGAGAATATGTTATGAATCAGTTGGGTTGTGTCTAATTCAAGCTCAGAAGAACTCTCTTCAGGATTTTTCAACCCTAATCAGGGAGTTCAATGATTCACAGTTTAGCCAATGTAGGATACACTACATCAGAGTGCGGAGTTATTAATTGAGTGATTTTACCACACAAAGGGGAAAAAGTTACCTCATCAGTTGCTTTATAGCACCAATGTTCAAGCTCAGCAAGCCCGGCCTTAACATACTCACCGTTGCTAAATGAGCAGCATTCTCGTCTTAGTAAGAGGCTACAACCATGATAGATGTTTGTTAAAGAGTAATTAGCATGCAGAAATTGACAACATACTCGAGCAAATTAAAGAGATGATTAGTATCAGTCTGAAACGAACCTGTTGAACAGTTGGACATTGACGAAAGAGAAAACTTGCGTAAATACTTTGCGAACTAGAAATGGAGGCACCTAAAGTATAACTCGATCAATTAAAAAATGCCAGTAAAAGAAAGAGCATGAACGAAACATCGGTTAGTTAAATAAAGTTCTTACATGATTGGCTTTCAACATGTCCAGAAAATTTGAAAGGCTTTTGACAATTCCTTGCCAGTGAGCAATCAGAATCTCTTGAGCAGCAGCATTTGCAAGGGTACGTGCTGTCCCTTTAATCAAGCTTGCCCTTGATATCCTTGGTGCCTAGTTCATCCAGGAATTTAAATATATCAGGAAGTCCAACAACATATAAGAGTGAAATGTGGACACTTTAGCAGTTTTATACAATTACATAATGAAAAATAGGCAAGCACCTGGATGCATAATCCAAGCATGGGAGAAATCTCTTTCTTCAGATTATCACGGATCATTCCATAAATCTTTTCCACATAAGCTGTTAGCTGCTGCTTGAATAGAAGAGCGGGATATTTGGCTTCAACCTGGCGTAAGGTATCCACCCCACCTGGTGAATCACCATCAATGAGAGAAAGATTCACCCCTTGAGGAGTTCCACGAAAACTCTAGAAAATATATATGTTAGCTTTAATCGTGCATTTTGAAAGTCTAAAGAAAGAAAGATGAACTTACAGTATTAGTTCGGAACTGCTAATAGATTATATTCAATCTTTTAATGTGGATTCACTCATGTAAATTAAGACATAGTTGAAAGACTGATCCAATTAGGAATTCTAATAGTTTAAGCTGAATGACAAAAGATCCGTATCCTAATTCAAACATTTTACCTGTGTCATTCTCCCAAAAAGTGTTGCGGATGATGATCGTCGATGTTGTGGAGCCATCCCAGCAGCCCCACTAGCTTTCAATGTGCGTTGAAGCAAAAGCAGCAAAGTTGATGCATTTGACAACCAATAAGCTAATATATCATTGTTATCCTGGGTTTTCTATTAAAAAGAAAACTAAAGTATTAATCTCCTACCAAAGGATGAATTGATGAAATCCCAAATCTTAATAAAAAGCAGCTTACATTTTAAACATCCCAATTACATTAACCAAGATCCATTTTTTGAACCATATATTTAGTTTTCTAACATCCTACCTCAATAGCTTGGCCGATGGTCTGTATTATCCGGTCAAAGATGCTGGTCCTCTCAACTTCAAAAGACCGCCATTGCCTAAGACATTTGTAAATAATGCATGCAGCAACAGGCCTTCCCTTAGAAAAGCCCAAATGCTGAGCAACACAGCGGATGAGCAAGTCTTGATACTCTTGCTGTTTCTCGTTGAGGGATTTTTGAGGTCTTCCCTCAACCTCATGAGCATCTCTTGCATTTAGTGAATGACTGTGAAGATCCTGCAATTATTTCCGCACTTATTAGTCAAGGACAATTATGAGGAGGAGAAATTCCGATGTGCCTACATTATGAAATGTGGTAATAAATCCATATGGGCCCATGAGGGTCCTGTGTGGGTTTAATGGGACCCAAGTGAATTTATTTTGATTTTGTAATGTAGGTACCGTAAAGTCTGTCGATACAGACTAGATTAGGGAACTCATAGGATAATGGATATATGTAATCGAGAAAATGATGCAAATATAGAAACTTACTGAGGTGCTAATGGTACTTTTTGTGCTTTCAGTTCTCTGTCAGCATTAGAAATGGGATAAGACATAGCTAGATAAGTGACTGATAGAATTTGATGCTCAATAGGAAAGAAATAAGGTCAGGCTTGAGTGAGTACCTGAATGATTGACCTTGACCGCACTGATTGCAATTTCGTACTTTGTGCCATTGCTAGAGCTTGTTGACGAAGGACTTTGTTTTCTGACTCTAGGTTGGCCATCTTCTCTTCAAGCCTATATATGCAAAGGACAAGAAAATCACATTGGCGTCTTTGAAATGTTCATGAATGTAGGATCGAGGCACTTATGTGAAAAACTCTTTTTGGTGCAAGTAAAATCATGTTCATCTAAACCAAGGGCAATGCATTACGTTTTCTTCCTCGTGATTCACATTGGTACCCATTAATTTTAGGATCTAATATCTAGCAACAAAAAATGAGCGGCAAACAATAACAATGAGGAAATGGCCAGACTATATCTAGGCAGTATGTGTTGATTTATGGTAAAAGTCTATTTTGTGCTTGTGAGAAGTCATTTGCTTCAGAACAATAAAAATACAGTCTATTCTGACTCATATCGGGAATTTACCCACATATCCTCCACCATATAGATAATGTTTGCGTTTTCCTGTGCATGTGAGATGTGATTTGCTTAAGAAATTATAGATAAAGTGATTACTAGTTAAAGTTTGTAGTGTTTGAAAATAAAGGAGATTTTTAGAAAGTAGAAGTTAGGGTGTTAGATAAAAAGTTTTTTATGGGGTGTATTATTTAGGTAAAATATTATATAAAAAGTGATAAGCAGTTTTAACTTCTCATCACCCTTTCCTGTACGTAGAGCTTTTTGTTTTGAAGAGTTTAAACCTATTTGAAAACACTACTCTTTAATTTTTTTAAACAAAAAGTACAAAAGTGTTTATTTATGCCATGACAAACACTGTTATGAGAGACTATCTAACTTCATGGCCAAGGTTTTAAGGTTGAGACTCACACTCCAGCTCCAATATGTTGGTGGGCTTGCTTAAATTTGAAAGATATTCAGCTCATGATGATAGACTGAATTTCTATGGAAAAGGATTACTTGCTTAAAGAAGCAAAAGAAAAGGTTACCTTGTGACTGACTCCTGAAGTTGTTGAACTCTTTTTTCAGTTTCTTCCAACTTTAGATCCTTTTCTTCACTTGATTTCAACAATTCTACGCATTTACTTTCAGAATCATCTCCCCTTTGTTTTTCAGATTGCAATTGAGCCTATCATGAAGCACCAGTTCAATTAGTAAGGTAAAATGTGTTTAAAATCTTTACTTTTCAAAACGGAGGTTCAAACGATGAACATTAACTCACCTTCAAATTTTCAACTTCTGCGGTTAAAGAATCAATCTTTTCTGTATCTTCAACGGGGACAGGTGTCTCTTTGACAATTGAAGACGCTTCTTCAATAGCTTTCTTAGCCGCTTCCCGTTCACTGATCAACAGTGCATTTGTTTCTTCCACTTTGCTTTGCGACGCTTGCAAGGAGTTCTGCAACTTTGCAATTTCTTGGCCTTTTGCCTCTTCCAAATCTGTCTGCAGAAAGTTGTTAAGTTTATCAAAGAGCAGAGACACATATGGTAAAAGATCAAACATCCACATGATGAATATCATTACCCTTAGCCTTTTCTCCAGCTGGACACGCCAGGTAAGTTCTTCAACCATTTTTTCAAGCTTATCCTTTGCTTCTTTAAGTGCCCCCGTTTCTCTTGAAGCCTAAAAAGATATAAAAAGTCCAAGTCTTTAAGGGGCTCAAGTAATGAGGTTTCATTTTATCAATAAAAAATCGCACAGTGACACTTTAAAAGGAAATCTAAAATTAAGATGAGTATAATAATATAAAGTGGAATTTTTACTCTTACATAAAAGAAACTATATCCATTGCAACACCAGTAAGGCAGTAGTAATATCCCACAAGTAGCTAATTTGGGGTTTTTGTGAGGGAACAATATGTCTTAGGGAAACAATGATAAATCCGTTCCTACATGGCCTGGTTGTTCAATTAAAGGGTTGTACAGCAAAGTCTTAAATGCCCCACATCAAATTATTAAGCCTTGAGTTAGACTAACTAATCAATCTTTTAGTGTGGGTTGAGTGTGTGCATCATGACCTAGTTGAACCACCCTATACTCATTATGAAATTCTACCGATGCTACCTACATATATGCATGGCCAGGGAAACCGTTGACCCCGCCCAGGGTAGCCTAGTTTTGAAATCCACATATAAACTGCAAAGTCTTATTGGATTTAAATTAATTGTCTATTCAAAATCCTACCATCTTTAGTTTTCGAAGCTCTCTCCTTGCAACCCTTCCCCTCCATCTGCACTGTGTTACAATCGATGCCCTTATGAGTTTCTTGTAGTATGAGAAAGCTCTATGACCATGCCAATGTGCCTGCACAGTTATTAACCACTAATTAAGAACGACAACAACAACATCAAAAGCCTACTACTAGTTAACAAATTAGCGAAATTTGAAAACTCAATATTGTGGTGAACAAATAAAGAAACCAATAAACAGACTTGTATCATAGTTGCCGCCTTGTTTTGGTTTTTGTATCTGAAACTATTGCGGGCCGCCATTGCCCGCATCCCTGTCTGAACAGTAATTACTGCATACTGAAGATTCTTGTATGACTTCCAGGCCATGCGTCCACGCAATTTTTTCTGTATCTTAAGAGAAGCAGAAACCCTTTGCATATGTTCAAATAATTTGCAAGCGATCCAGGCTGTTAAATGTTGACAAAAGATTAAAAAAAGTTAATTTAAAAATATATTGTATGCAAAAAAAACTATAGCATGTTAACCTCATCATTTGCTGTTAAGCCATCCATAAAAAGAAAAATCTAAAATATACAAAATAAATCTATAAAGTCATCGACTACTCATCCAGTCATCCTAATAGGTTAATATATTTGGATGGAACTCTGGGTCGTTAAATAGTACCAAAACATATTATGCTCTTGATGATTAAAAAATGAGCACAAAGACTTCAAGATCGGTTTCTCCAAAATTTCATGTTTGAACATTGACATGCAAAACAATCACAGAAGTAAAGAAGCCAAACCTCGACATGCAGATTGCATAGATACTGCGGCCTCTTGTAAGGCAAGAAAGTATTTCCGGGCAATATGAGTTCTAGTTTTCCTTTGAATTGTCTTGGCTGCATTGTTTAGCTTTTGTGCCCTCCTAGAATCAAGCTCAGCCATCTGACCAGCTCGCAGGAAAACTTTTGTCTTACCGATCTGCATATTTATTCATTCTGTTTAAGAGAAAAGATTCACAATTCGGAAGGTAACACTAGAAGGACAAGATATAAATATCATTTTGAAGTCACAAAGTAAGGTGAACAAAATATATCATATTCAGGAAGTTTCATGTTTATATGTGATGGAATATTACATTACATCACTTTAATATAAGAAAAAATTATATGATATTGTAGCTTGAAGGTAACATTGATTTCCCTGAAAAGCAAACTTTAGATAACCTGAGAACCCGCAAGCCCCATCTTATCCAAAATAGCTTTGCATGCAACTTTTTCATCATAACTGTCAATACAAGTCAAATCAAGATTTAACATAATTATGCCCAGGATAATGAAATTTAAGTAGAATACTAGAATGAAAAAATACATATGATGAAATACTACTCCGCACGACCCAAATAAAATATCTTTGTGTGTGGTTAACGTAAAACCTTTTGAATTTGCGGAAGTACAACTCTTACAGCAAGAAATCCTACTTTTATTTTTATATGTTAGTTTTTTTATTTATCTGTGTTCATCTTGAACATGCATGGAACTTTTTGGGAAACTACACAAATGTTAGCTCTGGTTTTTCAATAAAAAACACTTCTTCTAGGGACAAAATCTTTTGAAAAGACTCATTCTTTTGGGCAGAGGGAGCATCAATTTCTTGCTAGGGAGATAAACGAGATTATTACCTTCCTTCCAATACCTCGGGAGCAAGAAGACCGAAACGGTTAAGAAATTCGAAAAAGGTCTTACGAGTAGGGTAGCCAGCGCAACTAATTCTAATCGCCTCGAGGACTCCCTGAAATGAGGATCACCATAATTCATTAAAAGAGTTTTAAGTGTTAAAAAATCAGATGTACCGTGCGAAATGTCAGTTATGTACTAACGCCACAACGCAGTTGCTGCAAGATGTTGACATTCTCAAATATGGATGGCTTTAGAAGATTGTTTGGCTTCACACATCTGATGTAATGAGGTTCGGTGGAGCTCAAAGTCTCCAGCAATTGTTGGAGTTGTAGCTGCACCAATCAAACTAGAACGGTTAGAAGTTTCACCCAATTGAATTTCTCGTGTTTAGCACAGCGAAACATTTCCGGATAAGTCTTTCCTCTGTTTGACACCAAAAAAATACTTTCCTGAAGTAAAATGAACTTTTGTGGAAAATGACATCTTGCTTTGAGAACGGGAAGTCATTTTCCCCAAATAAAAATATTTTTTCTATATTTTCTGGTCAAATGTTATATTTATACATACAAGAACTTCCTTTTTAGGAAAAAAAATCCCGAAGTAAACGAAATTTTGTGGGAAATGACATCTTGCTTTTGAGAACAGGAATAAGTAAGGATAACATACCTACCATGAATTTCATTGGTCTAACTCACTATTTCATTAGTTATTCATGTTTAAATTATTCAATTGCAATATTCTAATTGGTCCACGTAGGCAAGGTACGGCACCTTGAGGGTACCGTAGAAATTGCCTAAAAAATGTGTTCTAATTTTTCTGGTTAAACATTATACTTATACGTAGAACAGCTTACTTTTTAGAAATCATTTTCCTCAAAAAACATGTCCTACGACTAGCTATTTCCATGGAATCAAACAGAACCGTATATCATAAAAAGAGCATACTCACTTCGGAAGATTTGGATGAATTGTTTATGAAATATATTCACGTGCATGACAGACGAATGGTTAATTCAACATTACCTTAAAACGAGAGCCAATCGATGAAAACTTTGAAGATTTGGATGATTTGTTTGTCTCATCAGGAATAGGAGGGAAAAGTCCAGCTACAAATGAGCATCTAGAGCCACTTAACAAATCTTGATGCTCAGGAACAACATAGTCTTTGTTCTTGTCCAGAAACTGATCAGATTGGTATAGAACCTGACAACAAACAACGATAACAACCCTATAAACACAAAATTGAATTCCAGTCGTACTTTATTTCAGATACACATCTTGCTAAAGTACATCGGGAAGTAACCCACTTATAAGAAATGAACTTCTCAACCTTATCACTTAAGTTATAAGGTTAAGACTTATACTCCATCTCTTGTATGTTTGTGCGCATATTGAAATTTAATTTAAAATCATCTCACATACCTCTCCAGCATAATGAGCAATTGCGAAGTCAGTACGAGACAGTTTTGGTTTGACAAAGCGCTTGTGGTTCTTGAATGTCTGATAAAGCTTTTGAGCGAAAGTTTCATGAGTTGACTTGGGAAACATACTGCAAAAAGGATAGGTCCATCAAGAAAGAGAATCAATAGAGGATTTAATTGGTTGTATTTGAAAATCGCACAACGTATGAAAAATCAATTCACGTCACATTATATGTTAGTTAGTTGCATACCAGGCTTCATCAAGAAGAGCAATGACACCCCCAGGTTTCTGCAAAACAGAAGCACAAAGGATTTCATGGAACTCCTACTTCAAAAGGTAACATATGAAATGTGTAGTAGATAGGTCTACAACACATGCTCCATGAAAAAACTCATACAATTATACAATAACGCAAAAAAGTTTCATTTAAAGTCAGAAATACTATTACAAAAATGTTTTTCATGAAGGGAAACTCAATCCCAAAAAACTTCTTTGTGTATAGAAGGTATCCCAAACGAGTCTTTATCTACAGATGTGAAACTTTCGTACGCTTTCAACAAACAAGGAATAGATGCCACAAAACATGAAACTATTGAGGAAAGAACTTCTCAACCAAAAGTAAATAAAGGAACCTTTTCAATCAGATCTAGGACATCTTGGTTATCAACAAACTCAATATAGCTCCAATCAATTTCTTCTTTTGTATATTCCTCTTGTTCCATCTTGAACACGTGCTGAAATAAATGACAGTATTTAGAAACACTATTATGAACAAGGAAACTGTGAGTACATGAAATGTCATCAACTATACCTGGTTAAAATGCTGTTGCAGCTTCTCGTTTGTAAAATTAATGCAAAACTGTTCAAAACTACATATAAGCATGACCACAAAATTAGCCACAAGTCCAATTAGTTACTCCATCCAGCTCCCAATAAGTGTCACTTTGGAGCAAAGTTTTGGTACACAATCTTTTTTGTTTTATAAAACCAAGAAAGATTTGGTGTTTTTTACATATCTAACCCTTATAAAACTAGACAGCATAAAAATGATAGCAGGAGTATTTTGAGAGGGGTATTGTCAAAAACATCCATTAAATGATTTTTAAATATGTGCAATTTCCTCCAAAGTTGACACTTATTTTGAACTAGAGGGGTTTATACATGTTTCTTTATACCATGTAACAAAATAACAATCACAACATACCTATTACTTTTAAAACTTTCAAAACCATAAATGTCAAGAACTCCAATAAGTGACTTTGAGTTTGGATCTTGACCAATTGAACTGTTTATTTTGTCTACCAACCTATAAAAAAATTAACAGGAAGCAAACACCCTTGGTATCAAAATATTAACTTTCTGTTACACAACTTAGTAAGCACTTAGCAAGACGGACGTAATATTACCAGTCAAATAAGCGACAATATATAGTCTTAGCTAAACCATCTCTACTGACTGCTGCATTCTCAGGATCAAGACTTCTTTTAATAACCTCTTCAGGGGTGACCATCACACGCTTTAATAATGCATCTTCTAATGCATCAGAGTCACACCTGATAAAAGGTTTACAATAAATAAATAAATTTTGCTTATCTTTTAAAAAATAAATTATCAAAAGTTTTATTCTCATACATTAGAAGCTCTGCTGTTGTTTTGAGATGAAACTTTGATTTGTCATCTTTAAGAACAGACGAATCAATTTCTTTTCCCTTTGAGAATGCAATATTTCCGAGATGAAGAATGGCAGCCACAACTCTAAATATTGCTTCCTGTGAAGAGAAAGAGAGTAACGCGTTGGTTCCGATTCAAGCAAATTAAAACAGGGAATCAAACAAGAGATATAGAGGTATGCTACAAAAATAATACTTGATGGGTATCACTGATTCCAACAACATCCATAGCTCTTCGTGTTGCAAGATAATCATGAGCATCACTGACCCCGACCAGCTCATAACAACTTGACTGATTCAAGTAATGAAACGACTTAGGGTCCCCTAGCTTGTATTTTTCAATTTCCTGCAAAAAGAACCCATTTTGTGTATCAACACATGCAATAACGGTGGCTCATTGGAGTGCCAGTGTGCCGTATTCAGGCTTAACATACGCATACCGAACGGAAATGTCCGAAAAAGAAGATAGGTTTGGGAGCAAATCACCTCCGGCGGAGCTGCACAGAGAAGGTAGAAACAATGGTAGTTCCTTTCAGGGTCTGAAACCTGGCAAACACGAGATCTCTCGAGGAGATAAGTTCTAATAGCTGCTCCCGATATTTTCGCATTCTTGTCAAACTGAATCTCCACAAATTTCCCAAAACGACTGTAACATACACACACACACACAGATGTAATCAAATTGAATCAGTATCACATTCACCTTGAAGTAATCATTGCTGAATCAGTTAATCACTGTCACTGCATGATTGTAGGAGTATCTCATTCACCTGGAATTGTTGTTTCGGACAGTCTTTGCATTACCAAATGCTTCAAGTACAGGATTTGACTGCAAATGCACCCAAAAAAAGTAAGTCTTCTAGGCTAATATTGTACAAATTATTTGAGAAATAAGAAAAGTTAAAACGGTGTGGTTAAGATATGTACAAAAAAGAGAGAAATGTGCAGAACCACGAATTTAGTTATTTTAATAGGAAAGCGTCAAAGTTTTTTGGGATAATCGACAAGATAAAATTGACAAAGTCCAATGGGACGGAAGGAGTATTAATTTTAAAAATCTCCTTACAAACGGATAAATGTGTTGTTAACAAATGTTTTCTATTGAATTTGTTAATCCATTGGATCTAAATCCAATGCATTTATAAATGAGTGAGTTTGCCAAAAAATGAGTGAGAAAATTGGATGAAATAGGGGTGTTAATGAATATTAACTAGATAAGTAAATTGAAAATTTTATAAAGAATGCTCTTGTCTGTGCACAAATAATACTTGAAATAATTACATAAATATGATCAAAATAAAGATGATTTACAAAAATAAGACTAATGACTAGAGTAGTAATGAAATCATAGTAATTCATGTTCGAGTTTAGAGCTTAAGTTACCAAAACACCACATTGTAGTAATGAATAGTCATATTTATATAAATATGTTTTATTTTGGTAATATTCTTGTAAAAAACCCATAATACTTTTCCACTTTTGTAAAGTGAATTGGAAAATGGAAAAAATGGAATAACTTGTTTTTGTGTGTGATACGAACAATTTACTAAACAAAAATGGAAAAAAACAAGAATTTACTACTTGGAAATTTTATTTACCTCCAAGACTTGTTGCTCAACAGTGCGACCTTCAGTACCTTTGCGGCCTCCCAAATAGGCAAGGTATCGCATAAGCATTTTGGTTGTTTCCGTCTTACCGGCCCCACTCTCTCCGCTTACCAAAATTGAGTTGCTCTTCCCCTCATTAAGCATTGCCCTAATTGTTTTTGGGTTGTCATCATAATTAATTAGTTAGTCAAAAAAATTAAACGAGCTCTCATTTTTTCATGCATATGGAATGAAGATTGATTAACCCGCACGGGTAGCTCAGTTGGTCGAGTGCTGGGAGATTTGTATCAATGGATCAAGGTTCGAATCCCCGCAGCGATCGGGTGGAAGTCACAGAACCTGAAATAAGGCTGGGCCTCTGGTAGACACGAGTGTATGAGCCTACTGTCATTCTGCTGACTGAGTCAACTAACTTCCCCACCATCCTGTCGGGTCGGGGTTGGGGCTCCTGGGTGGGAGATTCCACCTTTTTGGATCAATGGAATGAAGATTGATTAAATGATAAAGTGAAGGATGTGACCTGAAAGCAACGTCAGCAATGGCAAATACATGGGGGCTAAGTTCTCCAAGAGGGGCTCCTTTGTATTGTTCCATCATGTGGACATCGTATATATGTGGCAGTTTTTGGAATGGATTTATTGCTATTAGTATGCTCCCGGTATATGTCTGCAACATTATTATATTATTAATTAGCTTAGTATGAATCATTAATCACTAATTAATTATTGAACACCGAAGGGCGTAGCTCAGCTCGTAGGGAGAGGTATTACAAGGGACAGCATGCGCGCTCAATTCCATGTATGGAATTAGGCTGGAACCTCACATACACTCTCAATCAATATGTAATAAGTTCAATTTACATCTTTCCAAATAAATGTTCGGACAGTTTTGGGGAAATCTTCCCTAAAATGTTACTAGTACTGGAGTACAACTTGTGGGACAAAATGAGACTAAAGTGACTTTAAGTACAAATTTATAGTCATTTTGGTGTAAAACTTGAAGAGAGTTATAGTACCTAAAAGTTATCAAGTCACATTTGGGGCCATGATTTTGATTTCATCATCATATATACTATGTATTATCTGTTCTTCTTTTTTCAATTAGTGAGTAGTTGGTTGCTAAAATAGCTAGCCATGTATGTAGATAGATAGATGGTCTAGCTTACATAAATTTCATTTAGTTGATATCTGGTTTTCAAATTCTGCAACACTCCAGGTTCATGAAGATAGGATAGCTTGGTCATGTCGTCTACTCCTCCCGCAGGTGCATCCTCATCTTTGGGATATATTTTTGATAAATTTGCAACCACCTACATATGTTATTATTAACTCACACCATTGTCACCATGCATTGTTCATATATATAACTAATAAATAAAATGGAAAATAATTATTGTAAAGATTTTCTTGAAAAATTATTTAGACAAATCTTTTTACCTAATAATTTTAAGCGTTTTAAATTTGGGGTGAGCCGAGGCCCAGAATGCGCGTCAGCGCGTACATACGTACCTGTCTCCCATCACTTGTATCAACGTGGACTTGTTCACCATTGATCTTTGAAACACGCCCATCGATCCAAGCAAGTGATGAATCCTCAACCCAAATCTGAGAACCAGCTATTATATTCACAGATGTTCCTTGCATTCTATTGTGATTATGTTCAGGCCTTGGTCGGGATCAGAATCATCTCATCTCTTGATCAGAATAGTGTGATAATGAAGAAGACGGGCAATACTAGATTGTTGAGTAATAATTGTTTCTATAAAATGGGAAAAAGTAATTATATTACAAGCTAAGGTGTTATTTGGGACAGGGAAAAAAATCATTGAACGTAACCAACGATGTCAACGTGTGATGTTAAATAACAAGCCAAGGAAATAGGAACATGGTAAATGCAAGCCATGCATGCACTTAACTTTTTACTATAATTATTCCTGCACCACTAAGTAGCTATTGTTAAGGAAATAATTAACAATTTGCTTATGGTGGAATATAATAATACTTCTAGTTGTATTTTTGTTAGCTTTTGCCTGTTAGGATTGGTTTGCTAGTGACATCTAATTGGGGTCTTACAATTTTTAAAGAAATAACCTTTTAGTGACATGTAAATAAAGTTTCATGGGAGTTGATGTTTGAAATATGTGCATCAAGAAACACATATAAACTAATATTAGATAAAAAAATATGTGAAATTAAATGTCAACAATATCTTTAATTTGGTCCTATTTTTTTAAAGAAACCAATAACTTGGATAACAATAACCGTTTTGGCTTGGGATAAATCTAGTATATTGCGACTTTCAATCTGGATCGGAATTTGCTTAGTCCTACCTTACGTCCTAAAAAGGGTAAAATTTAATCAAAATATAATTTCTAAATTGAGAAGTTAAAATTTATCTAGAAAACAAAGAATATGTAGATAATGACCCTATTTTCCATCGTGAAATTAATTTTTACTTAATAAGACATGAAATTATATATATTTTACTCGTTTACACTTATGTATGTCGGTGGGTCATATAATGTTTTTACTTAGAAAGACATTCTTAACAATTACTCTATCAATATTTTACATACAAAATTTTATAAAAAGCATATACTTCTAATATCTTCATTTTATATTTTTATTAATAATTTTTAAGTAACAAAAATACTCTACATTTTTTGTATTTTTAAATAAAAACGTTTTGCGTTTCTAACTTTATTTTGTTATTTTTCTTAACTAATTCTACATTTTATATTTATAATTGACGTTTAGATCATGAATGAGGATGGAAACAATATTGAGAATGAGAACTTGATTGGTAGAGAGGCTGCCAATTACTTTCAGAATCTGCTTGTTGTTACCTCTGACTATAATCACTATGCTGCTTATTCCTTTATTAATGAGGTGATTACTGAGACTGTTATTGAGCTGGATAATGATGTACTCACTGCCCCTGTTACCTCCAAAGAAGCTAGAAATGTTGTTTTCTCCCTAAATCAAAATAGTTGTGCTGGGGCAGATGGTTTTGATGGTACTTTCTATCAAAGTTGCTTCCATATTGTTGAAAATGATCTTCTGAATGGTATATGTGTGGGGTCCCCATCCTTAAAGCTATTGGCCATACCCTGATTTGCCTTATTCCTAAGGAGCAAAATGCTTCTACTTTTTCCAAATTCAGACCTATTAGTCTCAACAACTTTTTATGTAAAATTTTAACTAAAATCTTGACTACCGGAATGACATCTATCATCCCCAAGCTTATATCTGCTAACCAAACAGCTTTTCAAAAGAGTAAAGAGATAAGTGATGGCATTTTAATGTTGAAAGAAATGATTAACTGCATTGACCACAAAATCAGAGGGCACAATGTTCTTTTTAAATATGATATGCTTAAGGCGTTTGACAGGGTCTCCTGGAATTTTGTGTATGACATTCTAAAAGCCTTAGGTTTGAATGTGGACATGTTTCATTATAAATTAGTATGTAATGTGCAAAATTTCTTGTGACTGGCTTGTGATGTTGTTTGTGTTCTTCATTTATATTGTAGTGTCCCGCACAAATGGGGAGTGTAGAATGTGGTTATTACGTCATGAGATTCATGTATGACATCATTTTTGGTCAAAAGACACACAACTTGAACAAGGTAATTTATTACATTGTTGCAAATTGTATGTAGTTGTATATTAAAATAATAAATCTATATTGCTGCTACATAAACAATATATATATATATATATATATATATATATAACTAATTTAACTAACATACTACTTTATTTTTTTCTGTAGATGTTCAGCCGTTGTGATAAGTATACACGGGGTGATCTTGATTTTGTTCGAGGGCTGTGGTGCAAAGCTCTATGCAAATATAGTTTGGTTTAGAAAGCTCTACAGGGGAAAAAGTGGCTCCAATTTAGTTATTTAGTTTATGTTGATGTTCTCGTACAATTATATATACATTGTATGTCACAACTAGTTTTTTGGGAGTCGATAGAACTCTGACATGGTTGTTTTGAATTGCAAGACTATATGTTGTATGACACAATTTGAGGTGATTGCTTGAGTAATCAGAATTTGTGAGAATTGATTTGGGGTTTATGATCTGGCTTTGAAAGAATGTGTGTATTTATTCACATACTGTAACAGGAATGGTTCCTAATTACACTGTGGTTTTTTAAAATAACACACTTACCACGTCGGTTTAATAAACAACTGATGTTGTAGGCCTATAATGTAAGCACACATATTGAAATAGACGTCGGTTTCGATGCTAAACTGACGTTATAATATACATAAATATGGAACTACCACGTCGGTTCTGTGCAAAAAGGGACGTGATATGAATTGCGTAAGATAGGTCATAACGTCGGTTCTTTTTAAGAACCGACGACGTAAGTAATTTAATATAACGTCGGTTTTGCAACCGACGTAATAACTACACACCTATAACGTCTGAACTTTCCTCGTCACTTACAAAACCGACGTCATAGGATCAAAATAACCGACGAGAAAACTCATTTCTGTAGAGTGTCATGCTCACTTTATAAATCTGATTAAAAACAACTTTGAGAGTACTTGGTTTTCTGTGCTTATAAATGGACAACCTAATGGCTTTTTCAAACCTAATCGAGGGTTAAACCAAGGTGATCCCCTTTCACCCCTTCTTTTCATTCTAGTTTCAGAAGTTCTTTCTAGATATTGTAACAGGTTGGTCATTGATGGTACGTGTATTCCTTATCACACACATCCTGCTTTATTTGCTATCTCCCATTTAAGCTATGTTGACAATCTAGTAATTTTCTCCAATGCTGGTAAGAAATCTATGAATGCCCTGAATGCCGTTATTAAGAATTATGAAAGATATTCTGGTCAGAGCATCAATACTGGCAAGAGTTTTTACATATTTGGTAAACATACCCCTAAGGCTACTTTGAATAACATTGAAAAGATTTTTAGTATTAAAAGGGGATCTTTCCCTTTTACTTATCTTGGAGCCAATATCTATCAGGGAAGAACTAAAATATGTCATTTCGAAAACATTCTTTTCAAAATTGATCAAAGACTTGCTGGCTGGAAAAATAAATTCCTTGCCCCTGGGGGTCGAATTACTCTGATCAATTCTGTGATTGCTGCCCTCCCTATCTATCACATGGCTAGTGCTATTATCCCGAAAACTATTTTGCAAAAAATTGAGCAGAAATGCTCAAGCTTTCTCTGGTACACCTCTAATTTTGAGAAAAGGCAAATCTGGAGAAGATGGAATAGAATGACTTGCCCTATTCCGGAAAATGGGTTGGGCTTTAGAGATCTTTTCACTATCCAAAAATGTTTTTACTTAAAATGCTGGTGGAAAGCTGCTAACCAAACACGGCTTTGGGGTTTATGGTTTTCTACTTAAAAAACCCTTCGATTCTTACATTTGTAAAGGTCTTCATTCGGTAAAACACATTTTTGACAGTCTCACTCATTTAGTGGGTTGTAACGGGCATAACTCTTTCTGGAACTCTAATTGGAGTGACTTTGGCAGGTTGACTGATCATTTGCAAACTCATGAGGTCTTACACCCTCAAATGACCATAAGAGAAGCTTATTCTCATTCCAATTTTTTTCAGGATATTCATTCCTTACTGTCTGAGTACATTATTAACAATGTTTCTTAAATGGTTCACCACTTTTCTACTCACAGTGATATCATAGTGTGGACCCTTACTCCCGATGGCTCCTACTCTTTTAAGAGCGCCTATGAGGAAATCAGACTTAAATGCCCCAATGATATCCTTACCAGTCATATCTGACATAGGAATAATCCGACCAAAATTTCATTTTTCATGTGGAAGGTTATAAATAATTTACAACCCTTTCAAGAACACCTGCTTCGTTTTGGTTATCACGGTCCCTTTAACTGTCCCTTTCTGTAATGACTTTGATACTCGGGACCATTGCTATATCTCCTGTGTGTTTAGCTATAATCTCTGGTCTCATTTTGGAAATCAATTTAATATCATCATTCAAAAACAAGATCCGTTAAACACTATCTTACATAACTGGTTTTCAACTCATGATGAGTTTAATAATCTTCAATGTCAGGTTGCAATTTATATATGTTGGACCATTTGGAAACAGAGAAATGCTTATCTTTTTTATGAAAAAATTCTTCCCATTTCTGAGGCTATTGAGTTTATCAATAAGGAGCTGCGGGATTTCAGTGTGGCCTACCCGTTTATTACTGATGCTTCTAAGCTTCCACTTGCTATGAAAAAATGTTTCCCATTTCTTTGTTGATAAACTGGACTCATCTCCACTTGCTGCCTCTTGTTGTCTTTCCCAATTCTGAATTGGATTTTGAATTTTATTGGGGCTTCAGTTTCTGCATTTTTGCCAAGTTGTTGATTTAGCTTTCCATTTTATTGGTTTCACTTTATGCCTTTTATTTTTTGAGTTGTTAGTGCATGAATAATAATTCACCGGTTGCATATATCCAAAAAGGTTCTCAGGCAAATTAGCATGGATAAATGTAAACCGTTAGCACTCCCATGATTGGTCGAAATATAGATGTTAGAAAATATATCCATTATTGGAAAGTTATTGGGAGAAGAAATTCCCTATAAAAGTGCAATATGCGCATGATTGTACTTTGACAAATACATTCGACCAAATAATACATTCTCAAGAACGTGTTAGCTGAAAATAACACATGACCAATACATAGTATATCATCATTGAAATAGTATCAAGAATGTACTTTGATATCTATATGAAATAATTGGTATAATCTTTATTCATCCCTTATAAATTAATTAAATGATTGATGATAATAATATTTCTAAAGGAATTGGAAATGTTAAAAGTATCACTCTGACACAAAGTAACGTGATTTGAGTTTTACTGATGATGGATATCCCCTTACCTCATTGATATCCTTACCTCATTGATACCCTTACCTCATTGATATTTTCTTATATGAGGATATATTTACCATGAAATAAACCAAGATGTTATATACGTAATACCTTGATAAAAGTATATATCAAGTACATATCGAATTTTTATTGATGTGTTGCATTCGGGGGGGGGGGGGGGGGGGAGGGGGTCCTTACATACTTATTTATCATCAGTTATATTGGTGCGTTGTACTCTTTCTCTTTTCTCCCTTTTGACCAAGGTTTATTTTTCCCAATGGGTTTTGTTACTTGGTAAGCTTTTTTTTTTATGAGACAACATAATATGCACCATCCCACATTTTAATTTTGCAATAGTAAACAATGTTGAAGAAAGAGCATAATTACTATATCGCAGTCAAAAGTAATTGACGTGTAGGTTTTAGTGCACCATACTCCCTTTTCACTTTGACCGATGTTTATTTTTCCCATTGGGTTTTGTTCATTGGCAACGTTTACGCAAGTTAATTTGAGAAAATTTCCTACGCTCGACACACAGGGGGAGAATTAAAGGAATTATATTCCTCTATTGTGTGCCTTCGCTAAGGTAATTAATGTGACAAGTATTGAAATGCATATATTTTACAAACACCCTCGATTAATGTAAATATCAAGGGTAGATGCAGACTTGAGGGGGAGTACCCCAACTAGATTACGTTACACTCTTTTCCTTTACCCAAGTTTTATTTTGTCCCACTGAGGTTTTGTTACTTGGTAAGGTTTTTAATGAGATAACGATACATATAAACTTTAATGATCAAAGCAAAGATCAAATAAAGATAGACTTAATGAAAGAAGCCTATCTTGATGCTATACTCCTTTTTCTCCAGTCAAGGTTATTTGTTTTCCCACAAGGTTTTTGTTACTTGACAGAGTTTTGATGAGGCAACAAGACTGATACCATCATTCTATCTACAACTCGGCACAAGGGGGGGTGTTGAAGGAAATTACTTTAATGTGCATTCGTTATAGATAGAAAGTGTATCTAGGGATTATATGTATTGAGCTAATTGGCCCATTGGCTCATTCCTCGTAAAACCCTAATCCCTCCTATTTAAAGGGGGCTTACTAATGGAATGAACACACCTCTCTCACTTCCCTACAACAATATTTTAGTTATTACGGAGTATTAATTTATTATTTCATAAAAAAATTAAAATTAACTCGCTTATTATAAAAACTTAACACGTATAGTAGTGTAGTTATGGAAATACTTTCTTGTTTAAATGGTATAACATGCATTACAACTCTAATTAAGTGATCGATATTTATTTTTATGAAGGCATATTAATTTACACATTCTCCCTTGAATTGGCGGCAAATTTCCATTCAAAACATGCGACAACTTTACTACTTTATATTATATAAAAATAATGATAAAGAGTGATTCCAAAAATTAAATACTACTACGTACGTAATACTTCCTCTGTCCCTTAAAACTTTGTCATCTTTCCTTTTTAGGCCGTTCCAAAAAACTTTATCACTTTCCCCTTTAATCAATTACTTTGTGGTTTCTGTTAATTTTATCTCCTTTGCACAAATCTCAACCACATAGTTTTTACTTTATTATTCACTGTGCCGATCCACTTTGGCAAAGTTTTAAGGGACGAAAGTAGTAATATTTAGAGCCCGTTTGGTAATATCAAAATGGTTGAATCAGTTTATTCTGCTGAAATATATGAAATTGTGGCTGAATAGGATTATTCTGTTGAGTTACTGTAGAGGACCATTTTAGTTATTTTTACATATAATTTTTGTATCTTTTTTAAGTAAAATATATTTTAAAGTAATATCAACCTTACTTTTTTTTATTATTACACAATTTAACGCGCGGAAACAAAGTTACGTGTTTGATGAAAAAGTTGACTGGTAAACCGAAAAACAGGGTTATCAAACGGGCTCTTACATGATTACATGAATAGAAATTATCAAAAACCTTACGGGACATAAGGGAAACTTAAGGTAAAATATTCAATATTAATAGTTTTAAATATTTTCATTTTTTATTACTCTATTTATAGTAGCAATCAAATAATTTAAAACATGTATTATATCTGGAGTTAATAAATTGAACTATACCAATTCAAGTAGTCAATTAATAAACTAAATATTATTATTGCATTTTTTGCATCATTTAATTAAATATTTTCCACACTCATGGTTGAAAACACGTTGTATAGTTGACAACGTTGATGAGTATCCATATTAGTGTTTAAACTAAAGAGGGCTGTTCTGGTGCGTCCGTCCGCAGGAGAAGCGCCGTCCGGCCGACGGCGTTTGGCCGCCTTCCCGTTAGAAGTTTTTGATGAAATTTTTATGACATGTTTTTCATCAAGTCTAGTTTATACACCAAACAGTTCAGCTAAAACCTCAATCTGGAAGGTCTTCAAATGATTTTTTGAAGTTAACTGTGCAAAATTACACACAAAAAACGCAGTCAAATTCAAAAACTCATTTCACGACCTTCCGGATTGAGTTTTTAGCTGAATTGTTTTGTGCATAAACTAGACTTGATGAAAAACATGTTATAAAAATTTCATCAAAACATTCCAACGGGAAGGCGGCCAAAAGCCGTCGGCCGGGTAGCCCCTATGGTGCAGCCGGACGCACATGAATACTCCTCTTAAACTAAATATTACCCATTTGTTACTTCGGAAATAAATGATGAGAATCCATTTATAGATTTACAGGATATTGATATGATCAATCTTGTAACTTTGTTAATAACAGATTTACTATGCAATTTAACCATTTTAATATATTGCCTTTGTGTAATTTCTAGTAGTGGTTTCTAGGACAAACCAATTTACGTTGTTACCCTTATTTTAGGCAGGATTTTTCCTTCCAACAATTGTGCACCCACTGTTACTTTATATTATATAAAGATTATTATTACTATTATTATTACTATTATTATTAGTATTATTACTACTACTATTATTACTATTATTATTACTATTATCATTTATTGATGGGGTTACAGGACTAGGCCCAGAGCCTAATCGACCCAGGTCCCAAAATTGGACCAGCAAGCCCAGGCCCAGTGACCCAGAGTTCGAGCCGGTCAAACTGATCAAGCCCATCAAGGAGCGGAAGCCCAAGATGGCATGCCTTCCAGCCCAGCCAGGAGCCTGCCTTCCAGTCCGACCAACGGTTGCCTTCCAGCCCGGTCAGCAATCTGCCTCCAGCCCAGCAAGGAGCCTGCCGTGCAGTCCAGAGGGGAGCCTGCCTTCCAGCCCAGCCAGGAGCCTGCCTATTGCCCAACGGGGAGCTGCCTTCCAGCCCAGCCAGCAGCCTGCCTCCAGCCCAGCGGGGAGCTTGCCTTCTAGCCCATTCAGGAGCCTGCCTCTAGTCCAGCAGGAGGGAGCTCAAGTGTCCGGCCTGTCAGCCAGGCCAACCTGCCAGCCAAGAACAGTAATGGCCGGAGTAATTAATGTGCGACTTATTATGTATTTAATTATGTATTAATATTTTAATTAATTAGCCATTAATATCTTTGGCAGTTACCATTTGTAATCGCCTATAAAAGGCAAGTCCGGTTAAAATGAACGAGGTATTCTTCGCAACTAAACTTCTTTAGCACTTTCCATATTCGTACTTTCCTAATTCCTGCTTGAGTGTTCTTACGCAGCTTTCCTAAAAGCCTACGAGCGTCCTATTTTGGACCAACATTGGTGCTTTCATTGAGAGCCTCTATTGTCTCTCACATCACTCGAGTAGGAATCACAAAGGAAGATGGCTGGAATCTCATCCCAACGTGACCAGGTCTCAGTCCACACCGAGGAATCCACCTGGTATGGCCGCCAGCGTGCCCCCGACAACCATGGACTAGGCAGGGCAGCGACATACCAAGGCGATCTTTGGAACCGATTATCAGGCCACGACGACCTGAGGGCGACACTCAACGTCAAGCTGTCGGCAGAGGGAGGCCAACGTCAGCGACATATCAAGGCGATCTTTGGAACCATACCTAAGGTGAGCGCTCAGTCCGCAGCCGGCAGAGGGAGGCCAACGTCAAGCTCCGCGCATGGACCCAGCTCGACTCAATGCCAAGGTGGAAGCCCTACAGGAGGCGACCCGAGTTCTAGGGGCCTTGGCTCAAGTTTTCCAGTAGATGGTGTCTGGCGTTAACGTGGATGAGACTGCTCGTCAACAGACGTTGGCCGATGTGGAGGTGTCCTCCAGGCAGCGTGACGAACGACGCTCTGGATCCAACCATCACAGAAGGGAAGAAGTCTCTCAGCAGTTTCGTTGGTCCCATCGGCAGGCTGGGAGGGGCGCCCAGCAGGGGAGCTCAATGCAAATGGAAGGAGGCGAGTCCTCTCGCCACTCTCACCGGGAGAGCAGCCAGACTCGTTCCATGGAGAGGCAAAACGTGGGGGCCCGACCTCACGTGCATGGACGACATAGGGGCACCGCTGGACATGCCTA